GTCTTGAATATCACCTCTGCCATGTGATCATGTAATGGAGCGTAATAGTAACGTCGTCTTAACACTCGCGATTCTGTATTGAATCTCGTTGGTGATAATGATGAGACTTAGGCGAGGTCGAAACTGTGCTCCAGTCCAGCCGGGGTGTGGTGGCCTCTTGGGAGGCAAGGCCAAGTGAAATTCATCCTGCGGTATACTCATCTCATTGTGGCTCATATATCAGCCCTTTACTCATCTTACGAAACCCAAGTTGACTACGCTTTCAAACTTACATTTCCTGTAAAAGTGTTTGTGATGAAGAGATTCCAGTGGGTCGAACTCATCACAGGATGAGGGCTAATTCCCGCTGCTATGCAGTCGTTTGATTTTATCACGACTAACTCCACGAGACGTCCTTCCTCGTTTCAGGTGGAGACGGGCTTGTCCGTCATAGCTGTAGCTCCTTCTTGCAAAGGCTTCTTGACTTAGACGTGTTATTTCGAGACCATTCGATGCGAATTTTTAAGTTTCATTTTGGTCCAGTAGAGGAAATTTTGCGATAAAAATTTGGGTTTCAAGGAATATCTTGTTTCATAATTGTTGAGCTTACTTCCATTTCTAATGAAAGTGTTTGGTGAAGAGATTCAAAGGTCGATCTCACCAGAAGACGACGGCGGATTCCCCTTGACCAACTGTCGATTGGCGTTACTGCAGCATTCTTTTTGACGCTGTTTCCGAGGTAATCTCCTGTGCTTGACTTGTTAGCTTGAATATGATTGTAAGGATGATAAAATGCTCTGATAATGTCCGTCATACGACGGACGAAAGTCTAACCCTTTTTCACCGGAATCGAAGGAGACTAACTGGTAAGCAGTGTAAACAAGAATGTTTCAGTAGAGCCAATGGACAGTTGGTCAAGAGGAATCCGCCATCGTCTTCTGATGGGATTGACCTTGTAATCTTTTCACCAAACACGTTAACTTGAAATGGAAGTAGACTCAACGGAGCAAATGTTCATCTGGTTTCACTCAAAATCCCAAGGTACCGACTAATGATGTTGTGACTTGTCTGAATGAGGGAACGTTTGGGGCTTCTTTACCGTCATCATTTATTTACACCGAAAAGTCAATTAAGGCTGCATTCCATCTGGTTTCTATGCCCTTCGTATCAGCAGGTACCTCACCAGAGTTTGGGGCGGAGCGCAAAGTAATCCTTGGCAAAGACCTGCTCATTTCTCCTATTTTGAATATGAGCCTGGACTGCCTCCGTTCCGGGCTTTTGGAGGATTTGCAGTTCGACTTCGAGATCCTGTATTTGATGATTTCAGGCTGTAGACAGGCTGGCAAATGACTTTCCAACGAGGCCATGGCTGCGCACACTTTGGAAGCCAGCCTCTCTTCGTCTACTTTCCAGAGCCTGCTTTCAAGACTCCTCCTGACGGACTGACCGGCCGAAAAGAGGCTTTCGGTTCGAGGGCCGAGTCGACGATGGACGAGTGCGTCAGACATGCTGTCGAGAGGCACTGAACAGTGAATAAAGCAAATTGATCCTTCGGCTTATCGATCGGGCCAGACAGCACTGGTCACGTGATACGAACTCGCCTAGGCCGGAGTTTGTACGTGCGACAGTTTTCGCATAGTCAGAGGACAGTTGAAGGACTGATGCAGCGAGGCCTGTCCGACATGTCGGCTTCGATCGATGCCGTGACCTGATTCGAATTGAATGGGCAACGTAGCTCGTCCAACTGAAACCGCCGCGATGGGAAGTCTTAAGGCTAAAGCAGTGTCCGAAAATGAGGCCGAGCCAGCAAAGAACGCAAAAGCTGCTCCTCGCGATTTTTTCTCTCACAATACACGCGACCTGTTGATAATCAGTTTAGTGCGTTATAAGTTCAGCAATGCCAGGTCTACAGTTTGTTTGTACCAAGTGTGGTTGGAAGATTTATTTAATTTGCAACATTTTCCTCATACGTTTGATAATTTGGTTGGCGTATATGTTGTTTTTAGCGCGCCAAATTTGAAAAATCCAGTACAGAGCAGTCTTAAAAAGGGCATGTTGGAGTTTGTGATGAAATAAAATAGGGGTTACTCGTTACTCGCTCTTACACCGCATTCCCTCCAAGCCCACCGGCTCTATGGCCGGTTAAACGTTAATGACCCTTGATCGAAAGGTTAGAACTAATGGTTTCGTAACTTGATTATGATGCTTAA